TACAGAGAAGGAAGAGAAAACCAAGAACCGGTAGGAAGTCTTTTAGCAAACTGACTGCTGGGGTTCACGCCTCTCGTCTTTGCTGCCTTGCGTTTTGTGGACAAAACAAGGACTAGGGTACCAAACAGCCGAGCACTGTAAGGACTTCAGGGGCTGCTTAGCTTTTTAGTGGCAGAAGCAGATGTGTCCTGAGATTACTTTAATGGAAACATAAGTAGTTAAAGTACTGACTGAGTTGGGGGGAGAGGTTTACGTTATATATACATACACTAATTAAAACCGTTTTTAAGACTCCAGCATTGCAAGGCTAACAGTTAGTTGCATCAAAACAAGAAAGGACTAGATGGGATTGGTCATTATGATTTGTTCTAACAACATTGATCTGCGTGCCAAACAACCAGAAAAGGGGAGGTGCAGCTTGTCACCAAAGAGTTTTGGGTAGGTATTTTGTTTTGCACCTTGTATCAACCATCGTTACGAAGATGCTTACATTGCATCTCTTCACCAGGGGAAGCAAAGCTCATTACATTACTTGGCAAATTACAGCTTTTGCTGTTCAGAATTGTATCAGCTCACACTCCTATCTAATTGAAAAATAAATAATAATTTCTTTACCCGAAGCTTTATTCTACCAGCCATTGCGAAAATGAGCACGCTGGGCCTAGGAAAGCACAGCACTAATTCTGGTCTTTGACAGAACTCTGGTGTGCAAGATCTTTGAAGTAATACAGTGATTTTCACGGTCCAACATCAGTGTTCATTTTCTTGAGGGAAAGGAAAATCAAGACAAAAAGGCTTTCAAATAGTTTAACTTGAGCTTTAAGGCCTAAGCTGAGTAAAATTTTTGTATTCACACCTGTAATATAGCTTGACATGGGTTTAAGGATTTGGGGAAGTTTTCTTACACCAGAGAACAGGAACAGGAACAGCTTACCACGCAGTTTGAATACGGGTTTACACTGCTGCGATGCGCTATCCTGAAGCTACGTTAAGTCCCATCTAAGATTTTGCTATACTTAAGCCATAACGTTTTAATGTTTGAGGGAAATCATTACTTACTATTTCACCTGCACCGCTGCGTCTTTCACTCTTCCGTGCGTAACGTTAGGTAGCGTGGTAGCGTGCACTTCAGCGGAATTCTTAAAATGTGTTCAGAGTTACTGCTAAATATTTCTGAAAATGAAGTAGCGAACACAGTGCAGATGCATGAAAAGCTTTACAAGTAACGAAAGGTTTCCAGACATTTATTTCTGGAACTGTACACCAGGTATTAAAGTACAACAAATACAAAATAATGCTCAAAAAAATCAGTGTTTATGTACAAATATTAAAACCAATGCAACAATAGCGACTTCCTCTTGAACATCTGATACTAAAACATGTTCCGATTGTCACTAGGTTTGTTGTTACGCACAGGGTACTTACTTTGAACTGAGAATAACTGGAATATCTGTTTTATTAGGAGGACTATAACCATTCCTACTGTATTTTACAATTGATAGTATCTTCCTTCTTCTTTCAATGAAAAATAGGAATAAAAAAAATAGTAACCTTGTCATTATTTTATAAATTACTGTATTTAGTTTCCCTGTCTGTAGACAATGTGCTTGTAATGCTGGGCAAATAGTGTCCCTGTTGGTCAGTTTATCCATTAGTTTACATTCAAAGTTGAAATATTCACTAGAGACTTTGGTTAAATTAAGTAGTATCACTATGTTCTACTTGGTCTGAAGTTTTCCTATATTTTTGACCCTCAGTTTTAAAAATTAAAAACAGGAAACAATTGCACAATTCATTGACCTAATTGTACACAATTTAGTATTCTTCAAACAGTATTGTACATCCTTCAAGTAAATTCAGCAGTTTGACCATGACAAGAGGAAAACTAAACATTTAAAAACCTAGCATGAGAAGATGACATATGACTAACCAAAGTAAAAGTATTGCTATAATCACAGCACCAGTTACACTTCTAAATGAATCAGCTACCCTCTTCAGATTCCCTGTACATAAAAAGGATACATTTACCAACACTGCAATTGCCCATTATGGATTTTTTGGTTTGCTTGTATGAAGAAGAAGTGTGGCAAAGGACAAAGAATTCATCACAGTTTGTTATAAGAATTGTGCTTCACCATCTAAGAACCAAGGCAATGTAGTTTCTTCATATGGTTGCAATTCAGTTATCTTCGTGCTGACTTTCAAAACGCAATTCTTTTAATAAACAGTAACAAGTTCTCCATTTAAATGTTTAAACTGAGAGAAAAATAAGTAAGTCCAGCTTTTAAAAGAAAAGTTCAATAAATAGCTATTTTACATGGATAAAGTCATAGTGGTACAAATTTATGAATGTCACATCAAGCATGCACAAAAATGTTACTATACACAGAAGTAGTCAGAAAATATTGAAATAGATATCTAAAAAGATATGAAGAATTTACATATTTACAAAATCTTGCAAATTATTGCCTCATTTTAACAAGGAATTAAAAGTAAACGATACCAGCTAGCTAGCCAACAGGCTAAATAAGATCAGCATTTAAAAATCTATTAGACTAGCCGGAATTCATTTTTCTCTCATATCATTTTCTGAATTTTGGTCAAAAGTCTTTATTAAATAACTAAAGTGTCCATTCAACTTGCTGACAACCCAAACCTTAGACAAGTCTCTGTCTACATTAAGAGCCCAGCAATGCATAGATAAACTGAATATATTACTGCATCAGCTAATGAGAATGGGCATGTTCATTTAAGTGCAACTGGTATAAGCATTCAGTCATCTTTGTATAATGAGTTTTATACAGACCAGCCACTCACTGTAAACCCATAGACAAACTTGAATGTATAACAATGGAGGATTATGGCCAGTATTTTACAAAATTACATAAAATGTGTTGATTCATAAACAAAAGAAACAAGGTACAAAGTTCAGCACAAAACACAGCAACAAGAAGCTGACAACTTGGCTAAAAATGTCAGAGTACAACACAGGGCCAAGGCTACCCATTATTTACTGTGTACTTACTAAAGTTACATGTTTCAGATGTGTAAGTTAAGAACCAATTACAAAAACATCTCTACTTTTGTCCACTGTGCTAAACTAATTTGTTATTAATATGGTAAATGTGCTACCGCGTAAACACTTGAAAGCAATCTTCATTACTATGCTGTAAAGAAAACTCCATACGCTGCATCCAAAACTCAGGATGTCAATGCAGTTCACAGTATGCATAATAAATACCCTCTTCCCTTTCAAATATTAAAGTCACTACTTTCTAATTACTCAGCATAACCTTGAAGCAACTATTACAAATATCAACAACGCAAACTTAATTACTTGAATAATGAAAACAAATTAGTGGCAATAGAATTTGTAATACAAACAGTGCAAAGAAAAAGTATGGAGGGAAAGGGGTAATCCTATTGAAGTCAGGTTCAGATTCTCATTAAAAAACCCTGCAAGTTGTATGCTACAGCATGTTACAAGCCAGTACTATGTTTCGTTTGACTTTCCTGCAAGAATTACAACAAAAATTTGCAAGACAAACTTCCTGGATGGCTAAATTGCACTCCATGTTCAAAACAAAAAATCTACTCAAGTTAAATAGTTGCTTTTATGGGAAACATTTTTACTCATCCTTTCCTATTTGACCAAGGTTGTGAAGTGCCATTTTTGAGCCAATGACTTGCCAAAACAAATAAATGCAATCCACGCTGAGGAAAAACTTTCAAATACATACTTCAAGGTTCTACTACTTCTATATAAACTAGATAGTCCCTCAGAACTGTAACACTTCGAACTGCAGTGCTCCAAACAATTTAAGATGTCTTCCAAAACGTAGACTGTTTAGTGGTAAATCCTAAGCTGTGCAGACTGTAGCTTTATACAACATCAGCTGCCTTAGGAGAGTTACGGTACACGATTACATTACTCTTTGAAGTCGTGGACAAAACCCATCCGAATACAAAATAACCTAAAACGCATCTGTTTAAGCCAGTAAGTAAGTTGAAAGTACACAGACACCTATGGCAGCAGAATTACTTCTGTGTAAGGTAGCCATGGCCTATAATTTTGCAACAGCACTGAAGTGTAGGTCTTCACACTTTACTCATGTTAAGTCCCTTGTGCTAGCTTCCTCCAAGATGAACTTGCTGTTTTGTAAACTGAAGTGCTCTAGTTTAGTATCACATGAGAGAAGGTTCCATTTAAAAAACATCCTTGTATGTTTGTGCAGTTTAACTTAAAAGAAGCCCATCCCTGCCTTCATAAGAAAAAAAAATATGCTACATTGAGCAGGGATCAGGATCAGTACCTGTAAACATTGTTATTACACTGCATCCATTACAGCAAAAGTAACTTAGACTAAAAAGCCACT